TGAGCTTCCTAAACGCGCCGTCCCGACACAACGGCCGGACGAGAGCTCTGGCAAACGGAGGCCGTCCCACGCGAATACCGGCGTGATTGGAAGATGAAATGCAAGTTGTGTTGCTTCCCAGTGAATTTCTCGAAGTAGATGTGGGCAGTCCAGAGGACGTCGCAGGTCGCGACAGAAACGCCATCGGCCGAGAAGTAACGGCTACACGCGTGGAGAAATTCCGACCAACAAGTCTTCCTGTGCGACAAATGGCACGGGTTCCACACGACATGGCTATAGACGTGGATCTTTTTTGGACGGAATGGACGCGATGAAGAGAGAGAGTCTATTGATTGATCCAATCGACTTGTCCCGAAGACGGGGTTAGGGTTATGGGGAGCTTGTCTCCCATTTTACCGGAGTACCGACCCCAAAAGCGCTTGGTGCACCGGGGTTAGGGCTACCGCTTTCGGAAGCGTGACTCAGCTAGCAACCAGTGAAGCATACAGATCTGAACCGCATTGTGTATACGGAATACAGGACCCAGAAACACAACCGGACAACAAGGAGTCGGACAGGTTGCCTATGCACGTTTTGCCTGGAAAGCTAGTTTAAATTTAGGCCCAATGAATCCACTTCATGTTATAGGTCAGAGTCGAGAGAGGCTAGTGTCTTATCGTGAAAATCCCGCTCTTTCATCATATCGCGTGCTTGGAATACGCTATTCGCTGTCACCAGTCGCTGTAGACCTCGACGCATCGATAAGGACGCGCAGCCGCTTTTCCAACGCAAGCGTACAGCATCGCAGTACGGACGTTGAATTAGTTTGGTAGCCAGAGAGAACCAGAACCCGCGAAGACGAAGTCGTGGTGATGACGAATGGAATTTTCGAGCAAGACTCTATTTCGTGCGTCCTTAGTGCCGTACATTTTGGGTACGAACGTTATCGATTACCTATAAGAGATGGCATCTTGAATCCAATGGTCGATGGGCACAGTGTACTATAGCTGCCAACTTGTCCTCGACTGCTCGGGAGTACAAGACATCGAGTTCGATTAGGCTCGAATTGATCTGTTTTTCGCGTTCGAACTGGGAGGTATATATAAAGCTACTAATTCTACGTGAAGGCTCCGTCGTGTCGCCCATCTATCGTCTGTGCTTTGTCTTTGAGCAGTCCTACGTTTGGGATCTACGCACGACATGTCCGGCAGAAAGGGCGGAAAGCTGAAGCCTTTGAAGGTCTGAGCCAGCCAATTGAACATCACTACTGCAACGGGGAGGAGGTGCTGAAGGCACGTTCTGTAGGCTCCTAAGAAAGATAAGAAGGTCGAGGGCGAAGAGGATAAGCAGTTTAAGGAAAAGCAGAAGGCCGAAGCTGCAGCGCTGAAGGCCGCTCGGGAACAGGGTACGTCGCGTGGAATTCTGATCGATGCAAATGACTGCCAGCTGACTTGAAGTCCACTCCAGCTGCCAAGGGTATGTGGTATTCAGTCTGTTGCATCCATCGTGCAGGCTCAGATGATACGTTTCATCAGGCGGTCCACCCGGCGGCGGCATCAAGAAGTGGGTAGCTAGTCGCCGCACTATGTTAGTCGATGACCTGACTTTATTGAATTTCAATGCAGGTCTGGGAAGAAATGAACATTGAATCTAGCGCTCGGTATAGCGAGATGGCGGTGGGGATTGTATGATATGTATACAGGCGCATCGTGCGCATTTTTGCACGACCCATATTAGAGTCAGCATGTACGGGTACATTATGTGAATAAAAAGAAAAAGATAGTAAGCTGGAGCAGGTGACGGTTCGTTTCCATTGATGGACGCGGTGTTTGTTTGTGAACATGAGCACTGCGAGAACCGGCAGCTCAGACCTCACTCCAACCTCTCCTTCGTCCCGACCGTCATCTCGCATTCAGCTTCCCATGTTGGGTCCACTCCATGGCATCCCGCCCTCTCAGCACCAGCAGAACCAGAACCAGCAGCCAAACCAGCAGCCTCAGGATCGGCCGGGAATTCCTCTGCCACCGCCACAAAACGGCCAAGACTACACTCTGAGCAGTGTCCTGCACTTTTTGCAGACAGAATGGCGCCGCTACGAGCGCGAGCGCAACGAGTGGGAGATAGAGAGAGCAGAGATGCGAGTGCGTGCTAGCTTTTTCTGCGTGACATGTGTCCTCGATGCGATGGCTCTAACGTCTGGCCTCCAGGCGCGAATCGCATTGTTAGAGGGCGAACGTCGTTCGTTCGACAACGTCAAGTTAGACTTGATGAAACGCATCAAGATGCTGGAGTACGCCCTCAGAATGGAACGGTACCTCATTTTCAATATTGTATTGAAAATAAAAGTCGTATTCAACGAACGTTTCCTGCAGTTCAAAGCAGCTCTCGCAGTCTTCACCTTCTATACCCGCAGCCAAGCTTGTTGCGGGTGCGGGAACGGGTACTCAGGCGGGCCAGGTGCCATCGCAATCCAGACCTGAAGACGCGAATTTGAACAAAGACGACAGCGGGCCCAACTCTCCTCACAGCGAAGGTTGGACGCCAGATATCTTGTCTTCTTCCTTCAATTCATCACAAATCACCAGATTCACCTCTTCCCAACTCACGCGCGACAAACGGCGGATCTTCAGACAGCACAAGACCTCAATCCTGGGGTGGCGTACTGAATCCCGCCTGGGCGTCCATAAACGGGAATGCAGCTAATGCATCCCTTGCTGGTGTAGGAAAACCTCCTTTAGGACGCGATCCGAGAAGTCGCGCACGTAGTCGCGAATATCTCAAACAGTTGCGTCTATCCATTCCACTGCGAGTCTATATTTACCCTTTTCTCTTAGGTGCTTGCAGGAAATCACATATCTCACTTCCCCACAAGCCATGAACCCTCTGCCCAATCGCCCTTTACTCAATAACCAGTCTCTTCCTATGACAATGCCGAACGTCCAATCCTTCGACCCCGCGGTCGCGTACAATGGACGTCCTCGCAAGGTCATGCCTGACACTGCTAAGGATTTTCCAATGATGAATGGCGCTCCTGGCGCCATGCCTTTGATGTCCGGACCTTCTAGTGCACCTGCTTCTGGCGGACCACTGGAGCGTCCGAACCCAATGGGCTCAAGCATGATGTTACAACAGCATTTGCAGCAGCAACAGCAACAATATCAGCAACAGCAGATGCAGCAGGGTCAAGCGCAGGGACCACCTCAGCATCACCTCATGCAACAGCGGCAGGGACGGCAAGGTTCACCGCCTCAGTCCCAGCCGCCTCAGGCGGTCTCCCAGGCAGCGCGCCCAATAGCGGCACTAGAATCGCAAAGTGAAAGGGACAGTGAACATGCGTCCCTGGAGACTGAACGAATCCCTGCTTTTCAAGATGCCTCCGCTAGCCTGTCAAGTGGTGGCCTCGATAGCCTTGATGCATGGGACCATCAGCAGCGAGACGACGAGGATGAAGGTGTGGCTGAGCCGGAAGCTGAGGATGAGGAACTCCTCGGTAGCGGGGAAAGCAATAAATCCTGGAAGGCGAAACGCACGCTTCGCAAGTATGTTTACTGTTTTTTCATTATTTTCAGAGGCTTATTCCCGTCTTCATCTAGCCATCTGGACGCCGTTCGTGCCGTCACCTTCCACCCTACTGAGCTTTGTCTCGCAACTGGCAGTGATGACTGTACCGTCAAAGTTTGGCGAATGGACGTCGCACACCTGGCCACATCTGCGTAAGCCTCGTTTCTCATTGATTGACTGAGACGACTGTCACTCACCGTTCCTCGCCTCAATCTAGCGCAAGGCCTGCAATTGAAGTGGAACCCCAGCTCACCCTGCGGGGTCATAGTGCGGCTGTAACGCGTATCATCTGCTCGCCATCCAGGCAGCTACTTTATTCTGCCTCGCTCGACTCGTCTATCCGTATCTGGGCACTTCCGCCCCCGGGCCATACGACATATGCGTCGTATGACGAGACCCGCGCACGTGGGGAACTTATCGGCCACACTGATGCGGTGTGGGATCTTGCGCTCGTACACGATGAGGGTAGGCTCATCAGCTGCGGCGCGGAAGGCGCCGTTAAGGTCTGGGATGTCTCAGGAAATCCCGTTGGTGGCGGAGCGTTAAAGCTCACATGGGGTTGGAACGGTATCGTCGAAAACCACGATGATCACGATGATGACGAGAGTTTGCCTGGTGCGACGGCTGTCGAGGCCCTGAAGACCGATCTCAAGCAAGTAGCGGTCGCTTATCAAAATGCTATCGTTAAGATTTTCGATATTGATACTGGCAAAGAGCTTAATCGTTTAGCTACTGACATGACTTATGGTAAATGCACATCGTCAACCCGATTGTTCATGCTGATGAAGCATTGTAGATGGAACAACAGCGACTCAGATCAATAGGATCGTGTCGCACCCGACGTCTCCGCTCCTCGTGACAGCCCACGAAGATAAGTTTATCAGAATTTTCGACTTGACGACAGGTAAGTAACAGCTTCTGTTCAAGGCCGAATGGGGTGGCACCTGACGCTCTTTCGTTCAAGGGCAATGTACATACTCCATGCTCGCTCATTTGGACGGAGTTACATCTCTGTCCATTGACGCCGCAGGTTTGTCTTTGGTGTCAGGCAGCCACGACTGTTCTATCCGGTTCTGGGATCTTATGGGTTCACGCGCTTGCACCCAGGAGATCACCACGCACAGAGAAAAAGCTCGCGAAGGTGTCCTGGACGTGCAGTTCCACCCCTCGCTTCCTGTCATGGTCAGCGCAGGTGCTGACGGTGTTGTAAAACTTTATACCTCTTCATGAATAATTCGAACCTTATGTATTTCGGTCGTTCATCTACGGCATTCATGTTTTCAGTCTTGGCCAGCATAAGTTTTGTACTTATTGATTAATGGACGTGTTTCGAATGTGACAACATCCGTCAATGGTGAACCAAAAGCAATATCTTGTAAGGCCGTTTATTTCTCGAATTCAGCAAATGTTTGTTTCCACAAAAGTTTTGTTGAGGGAACAGACAATGCTTTTGAACGGATGGACGCGTGGTGCAGTGGTAGCACGCTTCCTTAGCATACATATTTCCAAAATAGTTCATTTTATGGAAGAGGTCCTGGGTTCACGTTCAATAAACGTTCAATTCCCAGCGCGTCCACTTTTGCAATGAGTACAGTATACAAAGGATAGGATTTACTGTTCTTGACGAGGCTATCGACACTGGAGCAGGCAATCAACTTTCAAGATTCGGAGAAACACTACATACAACCAACTCCGTCGACAGCAACATTCAATTCAGTTCAAACAAGGTGGCACGTACAACCTGTACAGAACAGCCAAAATGTAGACGCGCATACACACCTCTACATGCACACCTCTACATGTAGCCAGGCCGACAACTGATTACCACGAGGAAACAGAAATAATCGTGAAAGTCCAACAGGCGAAAGAATCATGTACATGATAGCTACAGTCTGGCGTCGTCGGAAGGCATAGATCCACCCGCCACGCGCTGGTCTGATACAAACTATTAACCAATTATTGGCAATTATATCCTGGGTCGTAAATACATATATCCACTGCAACATCGTTGAACTACCGAGCGTCTGCGGCCTCTCTACCAGTGTCCTCAATAACTTGACGCTCATCGATTCCATGATAGCAGAGACATGTCGCCCAAAGGTCTAGAAGGTAAATTTGAGCAAGCCATTTTTGCAAGAACATTCGCAGAACAATCCCGTTCTCGAAAAACATACGAATGTGAGACAAGGACTGACCTTGGCTTGACCAGGTGCCTGATTGTACCAGCAACCGCTAGCAGACAGAAGAGCGCGGCTGCTGCGACGTATGCCCATCCTAAGAAAGGATTCTTCCCGCCTATCCAAGAAATAGTGGAAATGACCATGGACTTTGTGCCGCCATAGCTGGCTACAGGGAAATCTACCGTAATTAAAAAAGAAGAGCATGGGCAACAATTCGGCCAAGACAATATTGAAAACATGACACTCACTCATCCCAATGATAATGCGGTATGTACCCGCTGCCATACCGTCACTGTCATTGCGGCCATAAAGTTTCGTGAAAGTAGGCAAGCCAGCGGTGCGCATCCAGTTCTGGAAATGTTCGTCGGACTTGAGATCTGGGATGTTGTCATTCGTGTAATTCGGAAAGCGCTTCAGCCAATTAGGCGGCGGGACGATATCGTCGGCGGATGCGTAGCCCCCGTTACCAATAGGTGTCACGACGTATTTGTTGGCCTCGCCAGGCCAAGCGATATTCTTCGACGAGAATTGGTATGTTGTTGACGTGACCGATGAGTTTGCAGGGTTTAGCAGTTCCGGAGATGTGAATGTGTCTGTAGGCCGAGACAAGGACGTGTGAGATAGTAGATGGCATACACTTCAAGACGAGCGAGCCGCACCGTTGAAAATGGAGTTGGCAATGAGGCCACACGGGTAGATAGCTATCCCGTCTCGTGAGCCGAGAGGGCTACAGTCGCTAGAGTCGAGAGTCTTTGCAGTGACCAATTTCCCTTGCAGCTGGTCGGAGTCGAGACTGCTGACGTAGCGACGATGGTTCTGGTAGAAGTTGGTGAGTTTGTAGTACAAGAACACCGGCGCCTTCAAGTCGGCAACAATGTCAAAATCAATGATGCACTGATACTGCGCAGAGATGTCCGAGTCAAGAAGGGTCGTGTTGCCCGTGTTGTTGAGGAAAGCATACTGCGGGCGGGAAGGAGTAAGGTTAGAGGTGTCGCTGCTCAGACGGTATGACACTTTGCTGGAGGGCATGTCGGTAAACGACAACGACGAATTCGATGCCGAAGGGGAAAGTTTGTCGCAGTCGGTGTAATCAAGTGTGATTTCAGAGACACCAGACGAGCCCCAGATGAGCAGACCACCAATGGGTGCGAAGACGATGCCGATCGCAAAAAGGGTTGGCAGCACCGTCTTCGGAGTGAGAATGGGCTGCCATGCCTTGAGACGCTGCTGCTTGAAGGCAGTATCTGTCGAAATGGAATAAAGGATGGGGTGAGTGAGCGGGGGACTGTGGATGCCGGAGTGTACAACTGACTGGCTGGCCGTCTCCAACCTCCCTTTTCCTTCTTTGCCTCGTCACCATCGGTCTGTTTCCGCTTGCGATTGAAGAGACCCATCTTTGTGGGCGGACAAGAATTTACGACCAAAAAGAGAGAACTGACAACGTCGAAGCTGAGATGCGGCTTGGTAACGGATCCGACGGGCTGTGTCCGTGTCTGTGTCATCTGTGTCAACTGACGCCGAGATCAATCGTCACGTCAATCGCTGTACATCAAGGTTGCTCAACATTGTTTCTGTGGATATGGACATTGGATATGGTGTGGCTTGTACACCAGTTAAGTACATGAAATGTAAGATAAAACTAAAGTAGAGTAGGATATCTGTAATCGATACAAACGCGAACACTGTGGCACAACTGATCATGATGGAATCTTCATACAGACATATCAATGGTCCTACTGTCCCAGGTGATGAAAAGCACTGTGAACCTCAGATACGTGCGCAAAACCCGCATCTTGAGTTTTCGACTTCTTCTTGCGGGTGGCATTCTTCTTCACCCGCTCGCCGGGGAGTTTCAGCAGATGCGTCTCTTTGCCGACGTGGAAGCGCCACGACGTCCTGGACTTGTAGTCTCGGCGGCAAAACAGGCAGCGAATGCGCGACCGTGGGTCGTTCTCGTCATTGTATTCCTTTCCCCAGTCCAACGGCGGCATGAGAGCCTCGGGCAGCATGATGGCCCCGGGCGGCGAGTCACCGCTGATCCACTGGAAGTCGTCCACCGACAGGAACCAGTCATTCCGGACGACCTTTTCATACGTCAGCGGCTTGTCTGGGCTCGCACCAGGATACGACGTGAATGGTCGCCGCACAATAAGCGCGTCTGGCGGTGGGCGAGCGTCGGGTCCGCGTAGAGGAAAATGCGGTCGAGATCGGGGATCGTCTTTGATGGCGGACGAGACGCTGGGACTCGGTGCGTTTGACTACAGATATGGTCAGCGGGTAAGACGGCTAGGGCATCGATTTGGAGCCAGTGTACGTACTGGTTCAGAAGGTGCTGGGGTAGGCTGAGCTGACGACATCTCGGCCTCTTCCAAACCCGGCGACCTCTCGCCCTCATCCCTCACATCCACAGAGAAATGGGAACTCTCCATCTCCACATCGGACGAGTGTTCAGAGTCCGGGACATCCGCACGCAGCCCGAGATACAGGCCATCAAGCTGGGCTGCGACGGTTAAAGTTAAACGGCATCCAGCGGCCAGAAATCTTGACAGGCCACACACCTTGGAGGTTATCCTCGATAAAGTAGTCGCGGTACTTGAAGACAATCGTCACTAAGTGCATGTAGGGGACCACAAAAGGGTGATCGTCGGCGAATCGTGCGATCAGCAACGTTTGACGACGACTGAGACCTACGGTGGTCCGTACGGTGCGTCGCGCAGTCTACTCAATCGTTAGTTGGTCTCACAAACATGGGTCAGAAGGGGCACTACCAAAAGTAGATCTAATATCTAGACGAGCAGAAAGAGGCGTCGTGGATCAGTCATTGCGAGTATTTCCCTGGGGATTTAATTCACCTCAGGGCGGGCCTGCTCATAGTAGGCCTTGCGTTCAGATAACCAGGGCACAAGTTTCTCGCAGCAGGAGAGAAAGGAGTCTTCTTCGGAGAGAAGCTGCTTGTAATACTCGAAGAGGCCAGCGTTGTAGGATAGCACGGCGGACCTGTCTGTGGAATCCTCCATGGCGAAGGGCGTCTACCAAGAGATCACTCAAGGGCATACGACCGGAGCGCACAACACTCTGGAGGGGTGGCAAGAGAAGTGGTGGCGAATGGGTGGTACGAAGCACGACACTAGGAACAGGCAGTTAAATATATAAAACGCAAGCCGGTTCGGCGCGGCGGATAGCATGCAGTTGCCACATACGACCGGCCAACCAGCAATACTCGAGTCGTAGTAAACTATTGAACGAGACATACAATTTCGATATATAGCGGACTGCCACTCAAGTGATGGTCGAACATCCATATTGGGGCCACAACGTGGCTTGCCCGGCGGTGCGTTATCATGATTTGATTGATTTGATACTCGCAGATATTGGCAGATACTGGCCGGCTGACCATGCAACACATAGCCAATAAATAAAATCCAAAATCCGTGTAACAACGTAAACAGTTGCAAACACGCACACGCCGCAACAACCACGCACACACATCGCCCCCGCCGGCTAGTCGCCCATCCAGCGCGCTTCGCCGTCCGAGAAGCATTACATAACCAGGTCCCCGATCTGAGACCGGATGCAAACCTTAAAATGCTATCACTGGCGCGACACCCCCGCTTACATAACAGTCCTTAAATTTCCAAACTGCCCGCGCGAATAAAATTAGCAGCCGTACATATCACGACGCCTCCTGAAAGCCATTGGCCGGCGCATCCATCCATTTGTCCCGAAGCTCCGTTACCGCAGCTGCGAGACACGTGGACACTGCAGCCCTGTCCTCTCCACTCGCCTCAAGGTAGTATTTGATCTGCCGCAATGGATGTCAGCCCCTTTTGTTGTCACAGAGATCAACCTTTACCTTTGGTTCTGTGCCACTCGTCCTAAACGAAATGAATGCCACGCCCATGTACCTAAAGTTCACAAGACAGCCACGCACCTTATTGTAAGAGCAATCTTCGTCCCGGTCCCGGTCCCTGCACGGAACTGGATCATAGGGCCGGGTGAAAATGGTAGCTTCGGTTTGTATGAAGGCGCGTTCGTACTGTCGAACCCCGCGGAGAGGTCATTGACGGCCGTTATTGCCAATCCCCCAATCGAGTGCGGATATCGCAGCATGCGATCGTGTGACTGCCCAGCCATCAGTCCAGCAGCTCATGGAACTATACGTGCCACATGCCTTATTGCTCATCCTGATCCCCTCAAAGATGGACGCGATCGTGGCTGGGTCATGACAAATGAAGTAGCTATTCCGAGTCTGCGTGATGGGTATTGGTAAAGGGACACGGGCGACCATCTCCAAAAACAAGGGTTTACCTCAAAGTACCCATATCTAGTGCATAAAGCGTAGCTTATTAGTAAGTCCCGATCCCCAAATATGAGAGCCAGGCTGACCGGTCGTAGC